AGGTGGTTTATCAATTGGTATTCCAGGTGAAATAGCTGGTTTTTGGAAAGCTCATAAAAGATATGGTAAACTACCATGGTCAGCTTTATTTAAACCAGCTATTTCACCTGGAATACCAATTGATAAACCACCTAATTAATATAAAATAATCCATATAATGATCGTCTTGATCTCCTTTTTTTTTTTTGTTAAATGATTTACCTGATACTGATGATGGTGGTGGATTTCCATCGACAAACATTCTTTGATGAGCTTTTGATGGTGCTGCTTCACGTGCATCAATAGCTACACATTCTTTCTTTGTACTAAACAATCTTAGTAGAATTTAGAAGGAGGAAAAAAAAATTGAATTCACTTACACATCATAAATATTCATAAGAAATCCACCGCCGATACCACTTGAATGACAATTATGTACACCAACACAAAGAAGAACAGCTATAGCTGCATCAACTGCAGAACCACCCAAATTTAAAATACGTCTTGATATTTAAAAAACATTTAATACATTTATTTTGAGAAATGAAATATAATTTATACCTTCCAACTTTAGATGCTTCTTCTGAATCTGATGCAACACCTCCATGTTTACATATCATAAATGATGATTCACCTTCAAAACCATAATTTTCTATTCCCGGTAGATCAATTTGAAATACTGTATTATAAATATATATATATATATCAAATAATAATAGATTCAAAATTGAATTCTCACTTGGTGGATCAATATCAATATTATTAATTTTTGAAGAAAATGAAAATAAACGATAATAATTATTATTGTAAATTCTAGTCTAAATTATATCGAATATTTTTGTCTTTTTAGGAAATCTTTTTCACTTATGTTTACCCTTGTCAAGAGTCGTTGCGTAGTCATCATAAGAAGATGGTTGTTTAATAATAATGTATTATTAATTATAAATCATATTGTTATGCTTTAAGTAAATTTCAATAGATAAAAAAAAAGAAATCATAATCTTTCGACATAGTTATATTAGATCATCAAGATTTCCTCATTCGTTTTTTCTTTCTCGTTCTACATTTATAATATTCTCTAGTGTTGCTGATTTTCTGCTTTTTTTTTTTTTGTCTATTCTTTTTTTATTGGTGCACGCATTTATTCTCTCTCGGCTATTTCTATCGTTTCAATCATAATAGTTTTCTTCTTGCTGGGTTTTGTTTTTAATGAGCAACTCAAAAGAAAAAAAGCACAGAAGCTGAAGAATTTATTTTCTATTAAGAACTTGTGTTCGTACAATATGAGAAAACATGAAAAAAAAATAATAATAGAAGTTAATTTACATCAAGTATTCATGTAAAAAGCTCTTTAACCACGATAATAACCTTGAAAAGCAGCTATAATATGAAATATTCCTTAGGAAAAGTGGCTGAAAAAAGATCGACATTTCTTTTATTATTATTAACAGAGCAGAAATAAATTCTGACTTCATTTTAATTAAACACGAGAGAAAATTCATGTAAAATTTTAACAACATGCTAACGATTGGCATGTCATGAATTAATTATAAGAAAAGCCTACTGTAAACATTGGTATAGATTCATTTGTCAACTTGTGAGAGATCCTTACAATGATATATGGCAATATATTTTTTCTCTCTTTTCCTTTTTTTTCCTTTTTTTTTTTTACTTATAGCCTGAGGAAGTAGAAAGCATTAACGAGAGAATGAAATAGGCTATACCACTTTTGAATATGCATGAAGTTGATCCGCTTTTTTTTAAATATGTCATGACAGTAATTTCATTGATTACTGTCAAAAATAGATTCTTATCAAAAACACAAAATAATTAGAAAAAGTGTCAATAGATATAAGTTGAATTTTTCTTTTGTATTGTTATGATTGATAATTTAATTCAGTTATAATATTTTGTGACTGGCTTTTGTTTTGTTGAGTAGATCGTTTATATAATGTTATTGATACTCTTCGACATAAAAGTCGGATTAATGATTTATTATTATTAACAATGTTATTATTATCTTCTGGAAAAAAAAATGATGCAAGAAAAATTAATGAAAATTTCTGCATCAACTTTAACTGCTCAGAATGACACATTGAAATTACAATGTTTGCATCATTAAACGTTAGACTACATACAAAACGTCATATGTTAACGATAATAGACATCTATTTATTATATATTTTCTCACGAAACTTTCAATCCAATTTATATTAATGTTAAGAGTACTCCTCCATCGCTTTTTTGACTGTTCGTGGTCCTCGAAGACGGCACAACCGCTCAAGCTGAAGTTGTGATCACAGATGGAGCATCAAAAACAAGAAGATACGTTTTCGAGAAAAAAAATCAACTAACTTTGTTCAATCGGGCTAACATTTTTACTACTGATATTTGAAAGTATTCTCTAGAAGCAAAATCTGCCGTATTCATTTTTGAATTTCCCACTCGGATCTATAGGATTCTGAAAATCAAGACCCTGGTTTTGGCTCCGAATCTTAACGAATTTCTTACATGAAAAAAAAAAACGAAAGTGAGATTTTTGGAAAAGCTTAATATTACCTTTAAAATATATTATTAGATATCTAAAAATAAAATTTTCAGTCAAGTTAGATAAAGTTTTATTGATGATCGGAAATAAACAAGATTTCCTAGAAAAAATCGTAAAAATTCACTTCATAAATTTTTTCTCGAACATGTGTCTTCATTATTTTTAGTACTTTGTTTGCGATAAAAATTTCAGTTCGATCGATGGTATCATCTTCGAGAACTAGATATAGTCAAAAAAAAAAGAGGGAAGGTAACCCTTTAGTTTTTTAATTAATAAAAGCAAAAAAACAAAAAACTTTTATTTAAAAATCATCACAATTTGCTTGTTCATATCACAAAAGAAAAAATATTAAAATCGATATGCTTCCAAGTATTTTAAACTATTATCAGAAACAATACTTAATCGAGCGGCAGACATTCGACGTGTATAAACAGATAATCTTCGTTGTATATTACTTTTATCATTATTATCAATATCATTAAGATAACGAACATCTTCAATATGTAATTGATTAAGAAATGCTTTACGAAAAAAAACAAATGTTGGATTTTGCGTAAGAAAAACAGCTAATTTCCATTTACGTACATATCTTGATTGAGATTTCAGTTTTATTTCATTTGTTTTATCGATTGATAAATCATTAGAATTCATTATGTTCATTTTTAATTCTTTTATTTTAATTTGAGTATAAAGATGTGAAACAACAGCTAACATAACTGGATGTCGATGAGCACATTCAGTATGTATAAAACCACAATAAGCACTAAAACCACCATCCATTGTTTCTAATTTACGACCTAATGGAGAATAATCTAAACGACACATATAAATAATTCCACCAATAACACTTTTAATTAAACGAAGTATTGAAGAAATAAAACCAAGAAAAGCATCTAAGAAAAAATTAAAATAAATAAAGATCATTAAAAAACGACGATTATTTAATGAGAGAACTTCTCCATGATGTTGTAAAAATATATATTGTGCAAGTATTTT